GTGGTGGTGGTGGTGTTGGTGTTGGTGTTGGTGTTGGTGTTGGTGTTGGTGTTGGTGTTGGTGTTGGTGTTTGTGTTGGTGTTGGTGTTGGTGTTGGTGTTGGTGTTGTTGTTGTTGTTGTCGTTGTCGCCGCAAGAGTAGTAGTCGCAAGAGTAGTAGTCGCAGGAGTAGTAGTAGCAGGAGCAGTGGCACTGGCAGTGGCAGCGGTAGAGGCAGAAGTAGTAGCAGTAGCAGTAGCAGTAGCAGTAGCAGTAGCAGCAGCAGGGGGGAAGAGTAGGAGTAGAAAGACTCTAGACTCTAAACCCTGACTCAAGAGTCCAGGGTCATGGACAGACACGACACATCTCAGCAGGCAGAACTTCACTGTTGCAATAGCTCTTTGCAACGTCTTCAGAACGCAGAGCGTCGAAACTCATAAAGCAGAGCCTCCCTTGAGCGGTTGGATGGACATGTCATTCGATCAGACGGGCGATGAGGATCAGCAACTTGATGAGGCGGCAACTGCGATCATGTTGAGGCGCTTACCATGCAAGCTGATGATCGACAGCTTTCTGGAGATTTTGAACCAGTTCTGGCCAGGCCTCTACAATTTCGTTTACGTGCCCCATGACAAGTCGCGGGCACGGAATGTGGCCTTGGCCTTCGTGAATTTCACGGACAGTGAATCAGCTAGGATGGCATATGCGTACTTTCAGGGACGCGCCCATCTGATGGACACCCGCCTTGGTCCTCATAGTCGTGTTTGTCAAGCAGACGTCCAGGGACTCAATCTCAACCTGGCATATTTTGTCGCCAGGAGTGGCTTCAGCGATCTGGATAATCCCCATGCGCCTCGAGTCTTCGAGAACGGTCGGCGCATCGACCTCTTGGAGGCTGTGAAGAAGCACGTGACCATGCAACTTGTGGCACAGGCAAGTCGGCACATGAAGGCCGTCGACGATGTCCGGGCGAGAAGAAAGGCACCGAAGCAAGACTGTCGCAAGGATGTCTATGTGCCGCCACGTGTGCCACAAGGTCCCGGACGGCATGCTTGGCATTCAGACCGGGATGACAGCAGCGGATCGTCTACGCGGCTACGGCAAGCGTCCGAAGGTGGGGCCGATCCCAGCGCCAGCAGCTCTTCGAGCCACTCGACGATAGGACACCGACGTGGTCGTTGGGAAGGTCTTGGACCACTCATCGGTTCTGGCCTAGCAGCGGTACAACCTGACGGCTCCGTCCATTTTTTCCTCTAATTCGCTTGGCCCGAGGCCCGTGTCCATTCGTGCCCCGGAATTCTTTCCTACTGTTCGATGAACAACGCGTCTTGGACACAGGCTGCAGGGTGGGGCCATGTCGCATTGCAAGAACAGACCGGCTTTAATTTTCCTCCAATCAATATTGATGATACAGGCACCTTGCGAGTTCAGAGAATTCCCTGGTGCCCCATCACATCATCTCCGGTATAGGAGAACTTTATCCCCCCCCTCTTTAAAGCCCTCCACTCAGCTCCCGAGCTGCAGCTTCGGCCCTATCACCGAGGCGGTGGTGCTGAATACACCACCCTCAATTTTTTGCAGTTGTTTTGACAGGTTTGACACATAGCCTGATGTCCATGTGAGGACACGTCCTGTCGGATTGTCCTGTTCAAAAGCGGGATGACATGACATAAGTTCGGTAAGGTTGTTCGGGTTCTGTCAGTACATGGACGGTTATCGAGTGCAATCGCAGCGCTGGGGGAGCAGCCACGCACAGAACCACAGCACAGATGAGTGGTTGCGGGAGTTGCAGCGACGACAGTTGTGGGGTCAGGTTGAAGGCTGAAGACTCTGCACCAGCACAGCAGCGCCTTTCGTTTCTCATCCTCCGTCACGGAGTCCCCAAAAAGCAGCGAAGAGCGTCTTGACCCCATGGCTCCTAGGCCCTAGGCGTAATCCTAGGCTTCCGGGCGCAAGAGCGCTTCCTTTTCGCCAGCTCTTGCTGGCCAACAGAGCGGCCGCCAGCACGGAAAAAGTGCAGCAGCCTAGAGCCCCATGTAGAGCAGAGCTTTGTGCACAAGTTATATGACACCTTGTGTTCAAGTGTTCTCAGCCGTACACAATAATACTGCTCCTCGCTACTACCTCAACCAGCATGGTATTCCCGACCAGATGCCGTAAGGAAAAGAGGTGTCAAAAAAAGAACCTGATGCAGAAAGCCTAAGCCCTACAGTAGAGGGGACCGAATATGCTACGACGCGCTGGGGCGCGCATCATGTAGCAGCTTAGGTCCAGATTCAAACTCAACAAGACCAGCATGAGTGTCTCCGATGATTGCCGCGGTTCCACTATGCTGGATTTCGGTGTGCTTTGCCAGAGCCCTGAAGGCGACATTCTCAATAACCATCTTAGCTCAAGCTGCCTGGCCCGTGTGTTTACTTCACGAGGCTGAACACGGTGCTAAGTCTCAGTACTTTGGCCAGGCTTTTGCAGAGAACCCCTCGAGGTACCCTACAATTATTAGAACCATTACAGAGTTCGGTTTAGGATTTCGGGTTTGGGTCTATGCTTTCGGGTTTCGGCGTCAGGGTTACCAAGAGAGCCGACTTTCCCATAGCCACGCAATACAGCTGAAGATCCCCCGGTACTTCTTCAATGGATCCATTCCTCTAACGGCGCGAGAGGGCTGCAATAGCTCTTTGCTGGGCAGGACCTCAAAGACAAGCACAGCGAGGCGCCTGACTAGGAGTTATCGCTTTTGGGGCTTTCAGGGTCGACAGAAAGTCTTGTGGGGTGAAAATGAACAGCGTTGCGCCTGAAGTCTGGATGCGAAGTGCATGAGGCTGGGCACGAGGGCACGTGCACTGCAGCCCCCCCCCCCAAACAAAAAGGCTTTCAGGGTGTGCAAAGCCTGCAAGAAACAGAAGCAGGCAAAATGAACTTAGAACCTGCACTCTGACTGACTAGTTCGTCCAAGTTGTGAGATTCGAATTCCGAACAGTATCTGCCTCGCCTGGAGTGTCCGAGTGTGAGTGCCGAAAAGTATCTGCATTTCGGGACCTGCCCTTAGTTGAGGCTTGAGGCTTTGGCTGAAATGGGGATCGAAGCCCGTGTCGGCAGTCAGTAATCTCAAGCTTACTGTAAGTTGTTCACGTCCGCAGGCCTTCTGGACACCCCCGCTTCTTGCATAAGATTGTGTGGTGCAGTGATACTTTTCATAGCTTGCGTAACGGCAATCACCCCAGGCACTCGCGATGAACTTTATCACCCAAGTGGCCATCGCGAAGAACGATTACGATAAGGCAGCCCTTAGCTGTTGTACAGGTGAGACAAGATGATCAGATTAATCGCCCACTGCTCCAGCTGTCACTCTCTGGCACATTCTCTGCGCAGCTGGCACAAACGCAGCTGTCACAGATTATCGTGGGTGGCACCACACCAGTGAGTGTTCACACAAGTCGTGCTGAGGTCGTTCATTGCTTGTGGCCCATACCGCCGGCTCCAAGACGCTAAACCCTAAGCTCCGAAGCCTAAGCCTCGCACCCGAAATCCTCAACTCGATGTATCACGGCAGCACCCTACTCCAAATCAGTCCTTCTGTTCTCGGGCTTGGGGTTTAGGGATGACCCAACGAGCCCAAGACCCTGCAAACAAACAGTACATTGCAAGTTGAATTGAATGGGTCTAAGTTTTCAAGAGGGCTTGGCTGTAGCACTCTACAACATAGCCGGATTTAGGGCATTCCCTTTCGAGTCCAGAGTGCAGTTTGGTTACAACATTCGAGAAGCAGAAACCTGAGGAAAGAAAAGGCGGTATGGGCCCCTTTTAATCGTCACGCTTCTTCGTATGATTGCTTGCGGCGGTGCCGCAAACCCAAGGACAGTCTTCGGAGTGTCCTTCTAGGGTTTGGGGTGAGGCCTTCAGAGGTGTAGCATTAAGTGATACTAAGGAATCCTGCGGAGAATGATGCTTGCAGTTGTTCAAGCATTGTCTGTCCGAAACCCTGAACGCTAATCTACCAAACCTCCCATGCAGGCAACGCAGACGGCGCAAGAACAAGCTGCTATGTTTGCGGAGTCGGGCGACAAAAGCAAGGCCGGGGGCCATCCTACAACCCTGGCTTTAGGGAGACCTCCAGACTTGAAGATTTCGAACCATTCAATTTGCGGCTTAGGGTTCTCATATTTCCACTTCCGAAGGCAAACAAATCGCTCCAGACTTCAGGGCACCTTGCAAGCTAACAACACCTTCGACTTCAAGATCCGTAGTTGGGCTGGTTTGGATTCTGCCGTGCACAAGAGCCTGGCCTCGTTGAGGAGGGCAGCGTGGTTTAGGCGACTGTAGGAAGAGCTCCCAACCCGGGTGGGAGATGTGTTTCGAGCAGTGTCAGCTGCCATGAAACTCTTCAGAGGTCAACAGTACAGTTTGTTAGACTGCAGAAAGGGCCCTAATTTTGCGACAATCTCCATGTCAGTGTAAAACTCGAAGCGATGTGTTTTCGTTGAGACTCTAGCTGCAGCTGGAGTCTGGCTGTCTGACTTATCAGCATAGAAACCCATCGAAGAGACACCCTAACAAAAGGACCTACAGGATCCTCACTACAAGTGCTCCGGAATCGACAGACTTCTCATGCTGCAACAGCCACGGAACCAGGCAAGGCTTCATAATGGGGAACACTGACTGAGTTCCAGGATTTGGGTTGTTTGTCATGTTCGTAGTTGGTTGTCCTGCTCAAAGGTTTAGCTTACTTCCCGAGGGTGCAGCGGGCACCCCCCCCCCCGCCACGCAAGAGACATCTAGGTCAACAAAACACAGATGGCAATGCTGGTGTGCAGAACTTGGGAACAAGCGAAACTGCCGTTAAATGCAGTAAAGCTCCATGGTATGAGTAGCATGAGGCCACAAACGGAAATCATGTTCATATACACTTCTTGGACGGAGACACGACATTCCTCCCTCTGCTTGGTCGTCATTGCAACCGCGGATCGAGCGGGAACATGACACAAGAAGCATTCTAAGAACGCCCAAACCAGTGCAAAACCGGTCTATGTAAGACCGCTTAAACCCTAATCCCTCTCAGGAAGCGTCCTGCCTGCTCACTGTTGCCACCATCTTCGGCACCGAAGGCAAGATGGACGATGCACTGCGAGTGGCGAAGGCTGGGTCAGGGCGAAGGCGTCGTCGGATTTTGTAGCTTTATCGGGGTCTGTGCGGCCTGTGGAAGGGCTTACAATTGCATTCTGTCCTCTAGACCTTAAAATGATGGGGTTCGGATGCTACTTTACGCTCTTAGCAAGCATGGATATTCTTCCCCACGTGGTCCCTTCGTTTATGAGGCCCTGAAGTTCGTCCCGAGCATCAGTTGCTGCCATTGGTAAAAAAGACGAAGGGATGCAGAAACCGTAGAGACGCCGCAAACTCGGACGTAAGTCCCCGAAGTCGAAGGCTGAGCCCCCACCCCAAGCCTGAAAGCTTCAAACCTGATACAAATCCCACGGCTTCCAGCCACAAGCCCAAAACTCGAGGAGAGAAGTCCGAGAAATTTCAGTGATGAACCATGCCCTACAGCCCACAGTTGAGTGCTGAAGGCTGGGTATAGATGGCTACGAGCTTGCAGCGTAGTGTTTGTCCCCAAACCCAGTTTTCGGGCTGAGCTGCATCTCCCACTCCTGGCCCAGTGGGTTCACTCTGGCAACGAAGGATCCCGAAACGCCTTAGACCCCCTGACCTCCACAAAAGCCTGAGACCGAGACCCTTGCAAAGCCTAAAACCTAGGAGTTCTAAACCCGACAACCCCTAAAGCACCCGAGCCCTCAGCCCCAGTTCTCGACTGGGCTGCCACTACCGAAAAGCAGGTCCTTTTTCGCATTCGCAGATCAAATCAGAACACGGTTCCTTTACGGATTCCTATTTTTTTGAAGGGCTTCTATGATGGGGTCCCTTTTTGTTACAATCTGCCACCACCAGCCCACGGAAAATCATCAATTGGCAGGAAGCCCAGGAGCTCTTTCAGGAGAAGAAGCTCAGAGCTTGTTAGTAAGGGTTTAGGGTTTGGGGTTTAAGGGTTAGGGTTTAGGGTTTAGGGCCTGTTAGGGTTTGGGTTTTCGGGCATCTCGGTGTAAGAGCGTTTGTTGAGGTTTGGGGTTGTGGTTTTCGTGTGTTTGGGCTTATGAGCATTTGCCAGGGTTTAGGCTTGAGGGTGGTCTGTCATGCCTAGCATATAGACTCAACTTGACTCAACACGTTGTCGGTTGTCGATGGTCTGCCGAGTCAATAACGCTTAACCTAAGGGCCCGAATACTTGCCCATATGATTCTTTCGGGTTGCGTTATAGAATTAATATGTCCAGGTAGCATGAAATACCCCCCCCGCACCCTACTAAAACCGATATCTACATTAGGCATAGGCCTCCTTCCTCCTTCCTGCCACTTCCGGGTTCCAAACAATAGCTGAAGGAGTTAGATGCACTTAGATGATTCGGGCCTTGGGGGTCGGTGACACTTTTTTCTGTTTCCAGAACCCCAACCAAACCCTAAACCCCGCCAGGCTTGTCCCAGTTGTGAGTGCTGAAACTGAAACCCCGATTCCCCTTTATCAGATTCTTATGTGGAGTGAAGTGTTGTGGATGAGCTTGCAATAGAAATGGTTTCACCTCGACAGACTCTCAAACCCACATGCCTCGCCTGGTTTGTCCGAGTGTGAGCGCCGAAACCCTTATGGGAGGTAGAATGTGTAGCTCGATAGGGAAGGCTTCCGAGCCTAAACGTAGAGGGGGACCCTTAGAATTCCCTTGTAAAATTACGCAAAGGATAGAGACCCCCAGCACACCCAAGTCTAACGATAGTTTCAGGCATCTGCATTATAACCCTCGGGTGTTTTGATTCGGGGAGGAAGAACGAGGTACCGAGGTTCCGACAGAGCTCTGCAACTGCTTCAGCGTAGGATCTTAATCAGAGCGCTCCTCGGGTTTAGGAAACTTTTAGGAAAGTTTAGAGTTTTTGCTTGACTCGAGATCCCCAAACCCGCTTTAGCCCTCGAGCCCAAAATCCTGTCCTGAACGAAACTACATGCCCTCAGTCCTAAACGCCCTCAGTCCCGGAAGGCCTCCAAGAAAACATAACAAAAGACACAAAACACGCAATGCACAAGCAGAAACAAGGGGACCCTGAACCCTGAACCCTAAACCCTATCATTCGCCTCGCCTGGATTGTCCGAGTGTGAGAGCCGAAACCGTGAACATTTGTTTCTTCCGAGGAAAGACCGGTCAGGGGAAGCACGGGCTCTCAATGTGCTCGCAGACATATATTGCGACCTGAGAGAGGCTCGGGCTTTGGCTTTGCGTTCACGAGGGGTTAAGGTTAGGGTTTAGGATTTAGGGTTTAGGGTTTAGGGTTGGGGGGTTAGGGTTCCTTTTGGAGTCACTTGAGGCTGTGAGCTTCCTTTGCTTTGGGCATTTCGGGGCTTGCAGGCTGTTGGGATTCTTGAGGGCTGAAGGGTTGATGGTGTCGGGTTTAAAGTTGGGGGTTGCAGCGCAGACGCTTCAGAGCTGAGACATTCGGGTTTCAGGGGGTCGGCAGACCTGCAAAGTCTGACAAGAGATGGGGCTATATCGAGCACAGTATCTCCTCGAGAGGAGGAGGTTTTTGATCGGCACCTGATCCCATAGGTCCCAATCTTAATCAGCAGCAGGTAGCCCTGTGACGTTTAGAAACAAGATCCCTTGCTCGAAGGTGATGGTGTAGTGCTAGGGGCTCTAGTGGTTTGTGGGTGCGAGCTGCGGAGCTTGGGACCCTCCCCAACGCTTGCACCAAACCCTAAAAACCTTAAACCCTGCGCCGGCAGGTGGAGCAAGCCGTGGCCATGTGCAAGGAGATGCGTGCAAAGCTGCAGGAGACAGGCCCGCAGTCACCACTCAGGGACGAAGAAGATCTTAAAACAGGGCCACAGTGTTAAGCCCCCAAGTCCTTTGCCCCAACGACTCAACCGGGAATGCTGTCGGTTGTAGTGTTTCCCTCATCGTCCCCAAGACCTACTTGTTTCAGGGCTGGAAATCACAATGAGCTGCTCTGTAGGGTTCAGGTAGAGCCTAAATATTAAGCCCCAAGGGGCCGAGGCAAAGGCTCAGACAAGGACCGGACAGAAGCGTAGTATAGAGGCCAGAATAGTGGCAATAAAAGATGTACAGTCCCTGTATATTTCCTGCATATTTGTGCATTAAGTTTGCACCAAAACAAAATTTAGACAACTAGGCCCCCTGATATAATGAGCACCGCATGGCAAAACAGAGTTACAGTCGTCAAACAACGAAGTCAAGAAAAGTAGAAGGAGCAGCTTGTAGTCGCCCCGAGGCCTGCGCGTGACGGCTAAATTTACGTGACGACCTCAAGAGCTGTTTCAAGCCGCGCAGCACCTGATATTCTAAATCGTCTTGCCCCCTTTTGCATGGGAAGGGTTCTACTTCACATCGGGCTTCCCTGTAGGCCCGAAACCTCGAAACCCTCACCCGCCCTAGGCCCCACGACATCTCTAAACGTATGGAGTCTGGATTCTGATTCCCTCGAGGCGACAAGAAGGCTGAGGTGCCCCGGTGGGCACTGGAATTTGGGGGTCTGGGTCTGCGGGCTTACTAGATTTCTGTAGTTTAGTTGCTTTTCTTGCTGTATGTTGTCAGTGCAGTCTACAATTTCTGGTTTGCTTCTTGTGGGTTCGGGGGTGCCAGAGGGTGTTTTCATTGGCAAACTTGGTCCTGTTACTTGCATCCAGCAGCTTCTCATATCCCATGGCTGCTCAGCAGTGGAAAGTGGTTCATCGGCGCATGCCCCCTAAACTAGCAATGCATGAAGAGTAAAAGGCTTGGACGGCTTGGATGTCCTGTTTGGTCAGGGCTTGGTGTCGTTCTTTCAGTGCCAAGTCAACCACAAGAAGGTTCCCTGTGTGGACTCCTCGCAAAGATTTTTCCATATCGAACTGTGAACTCAGGCTGGCATAGGGTTGTTCTCAACGAAGCCACATGTAGGGATCCTGGCTTAGGCAACTCTTCTGTCCATTGGTGACCTATTTCAGAGTAACACCCTTTGAGAGACGTCGATCTGAAAATGCCTGGCGAATCGGAACCAGAATCCCAAAAATTCTACAGACGGCGTGGCATGTATCTCGAAGAGCGGTGTCTTACGCATGCCACTCAAGCACAAGTCGAGGGATGACAAGCCCCTTCGAATTTTCGGATCCCGGAGGAGGTTTGAGAAACCATGTTTCGTTACATGTTTTACCTTTCCGCTGGGGATGCTGGGGCCTGAGCAATTGGAGCCTGTGAGTTGCCACGGCTTTCTGAGGAGCACCGAAGGTACAGGCCGTCTCACCTGTCTGGTGGCTGGAGGTCAATGATACTAGAGACTATAACTCGTTTCGTGACACTCAGAAAGTCAGCGAATCTGAGTTATGCTAGTCGTCCACGTTCCACTCTGCACACGATTTAATGCAGGTGACAGCCATCAGAGTGCTGTCCAACATTTACCTGGCATCAGAGATGCCTGGCGAGTCACTTCGTGCCGCCAATGACGCAGTGCATCTGGCCTGCATCCATGAGTCGCCAAGGTCCGCAGTGATGAGCGCAGATAGAGAGAGCCTGGAGAGCGAGCAGCCACGTCAGAACTTTTGTTGCATGCTGCAGCGATTCCCCAGGCAGATGTGCAAACGAGTTCATGTATCCCGGCTGCAGACTCGACGGCGTGTAGCCCGCAAATTTTGGGTTGGTGAGCACATGAGGTACAGAATATCGGGACTGGGTGCTAGGTTCTTGACAGCCTGGAACTCCTTCCTATAGAAAAAATCCGTTCCTGAGGGCTCCTTAGCACGCTAAAAAACACCAGAGCCGTCTTCGATATAACCTTAATTTGCACTAAGCCCAGGATCGACGACAGCTGGCCGAGAATTTGATCCTCGTGTCCGAGGCGAGCATCGCGCTGGCCATCCAGGAGAGGGCTTGTGTGCGCATAGCTGCTTTAGGCGGTTTGGGGTCCACGGCCTACAAGAACGGCGTTGGGTTCTAGCATGGAATTAGTCAGGATTTTTAGAAGTTGGGGTGTTGGATTTCGGATTTGAGCGCGCGCATAGCAGGTTTTAGTGCCGCTTCTGTGAGTGTTTTGGTGATGGCATTCGTTTTGCGTGTTAGAGGGCTGTAGGGCTCTGGAATGTATGTGACTGCAGGGTTCAGGATAAGCTTTTCAAAGTCGTTTTTCTTGGGTTCAGGGTTTGGGGGTGGTGGAGCTTGGCATATCACAGCATGAACAGGGTCTAACCCGAAAGCCTAAACTCCCCGAACCACCGGAGCTGCTGAGAAAGAATTCTAAACCCTGAACCTTAGACCCTAAACCCCTTGCAGTGGAGAGTCCAGGTTGTGGGAGTCCTAACCCGACCGGCCTCTTTAATGCGTGATCGTGGCCAGATGCAGGTAGACGATGTTGAAGCAACCACCCTAAACCACAAGCCCCAGCCTCGAAGCGCCCGCCCCCGCAGCCTCAAGCCACCAAGCCTTACATCCCCCAAAAGCACAAAAATGACACAAGAAGCCCTGACACCACCCCTGACCTCTGGTTTATAAACCTCTTGTCTTTAAAAGCCCCAGTGTTAGGATCGTCATTATAATCCCTCTCATGGGAGAGGGGTTTATTGGCCAGCAGCCTACATCAGCATCATTAGCCCAAACCCAGAGCCCGCCGGCGAGGATAACCCGAAGGCCTTGGCTAAAGGCTCTGAGAGGTCGCTGAAGCCAGCACGCGAAGCTTTCAAGGCACTGCTTTGCGGTCAGACTTTATGAGTTTTAGGTACAGCATTGAAAGTTGAGGCTTTTACGGTTTATGATTTTGGGATTTAAGTTTTTAGCGCAGGGTTTTTAGGAGTTTTTAGGTAAGACGGGTTGCAGTGGTTTTGCGTCCTGTCGAACTCAAGAGTTACTCGCTGGGTATGCAGCAGCGAGGAAACCTTGGCATTCTTCTTCACTTAGTAACTCGCAGTCACAGTGCGGGTCCAAGTGTCCGGACAAGGTTTGCCCATGTTTGCCCCATCGCTGGTAAGGATCTGCAAGGTTGAGCCGGCCCAGGGGAACTTGTTTCGTCTAAGGAGCCTGGAAGGCGCCCTCAAGGCTGCAAACACCCCACCCTGAAGCCTCCCAGAACCTTCGCAGCCAGAAGGCCTAAGCCATTCCTGGCGTGAGTGCCGAAGCCGTGGAATTCGAATGGAACTGCGCCAGCGAGCCTTGAATCCTACACTTTCAAACCCTCAAAACCCCTTAGCTCCCTTAGGCCTGGCACCAAAGTCCGGTAAGCTCCACAACATCCGACAACCCCCTGAATTCCTACGCCCAATTGTGTTTGACCCCATACCTCCGGAAAGGTGGCCAAGTCCATCGGTGCAGGGAAGATGATGGGCACCTATCCCGTTGTTAATGTTGGCTAGGATAGTAAAGAGTGAAGAGAGTAGCGAATATAAGGTGTAAGAATCGAAAGGGTTCCAGGCTTTGGGTTTGCCAGGGCTTTTTTGGTTTGAGGTTCTTTCCTGTTTCAGGCAAGAGTCCTTGTGCCCGTTTGAGCGGGGAACGAAGCCAATCTGACAAGCAAAGTGAGCAGTTGATGAACTCTGCAAGTGCGAATTATGCGCAGTTATATGCACAAAGACCACTGCGTCCTTGCTAGGCGAGAGGCAAGAAGTCTAAAGCCCGAGGGCAACCATCGTTCGCTTGCCAACTTGCACTTCGAATGTCGTTGTCGTGGTCGCAACCCTAGTCGTACCAGCAGTGGCCGTGGCGGTAGTGGTAGCAGCAGCAGCAGTAGTCGCAGTTGTAGTAGTGGCTCCGCAGAAGCAGTAGCAGGAGAAACAAGAGGAGTGCGGTGGTGGTGGTGGCGGTGGTGGTGGTGGTGGTGGTAGCAGTGGTAGTGGTGGTGGTAGTAGTAGTAGTAGTAGTAGGAGGAGGAATAGTAGTAGCAGTAGCAGTAGCAGCAACAGTAGTGTAGTAGTGGAGTGCTCCGTGATTTGTATTACGAGCAATGGCTCGGGTCTAGCGCAAGACTTTCTCCAGGCATGGCGATGCACCAGACCGCCTACGTCCTGCTTGTCACAGCCGCTTCGTCTGCCAAGTCTAGACCGTGACAAGCTGTTGCATACTATTTGCAGTTTTCCCGAAAGCATCGCGAAGGGTTCTTCCGTGCGGAGCCCCGCAGAGAAAATACATAGAGAATACATGGGGTCAAGTACACTTGACTTTACGAACACTTGACTTTATGACATTTGACTTTACCACACTT